AATCATTAATGCGCATGCTCAGTAATGCACATGCACACAAAAATTGCCAAATTAAAAACCACCAATTACAATTTTACAGCAAAATCGCCAAAATAAAGCGCTATACAGTAATTTGAAAAGAAACAGAAATACTTTATAGTCTTCCTCACTTTATCATTAGTGAATAGGTAGAATATGATAAAATATATTGACTGAAGGACTGAACCAATGAAATTAACAAATATCATTGGATTATCATTCACTACAATACCATAGAGCAACCAGAGGGAGGACCTGAACAGAAGAAATTATTATTACAAATTTACAAAGTACCTTGAAGCCACTTATTTTTAAGTAGACAAAATTAATATTTGCAATTTGTTAATAGTATTGATTTAACGTGTATTAATTTTTTATGATTTTGCTCATTTTTTCAATTAATAACTATTAATAAACGTAAATTATTAATAAACGCAAGTACTAATTTTTGCGATTTTAAAGCCACTCGCAAAAAATACAAAAATTAGTACTCGCAAACAATAGTGGCCTTAAGGTATTATAAATAATTCCGATCTCATATGTACTATTATTGTAAAACCTTTATTTTATTTTACTTTCTTTTTAAAATACAACCTAATGGTCTAAATAATTATTAGACAATTTTAAATTATTAAATAAAATAAAAGAGAATTCATGACTTACATAAGAGCTCCAGCGAGAAATGGCAGATAGCTACGAGTCCCAACACTTTTCTCTGAAATTATACACCAACAGGTCCATCTATAAATGGGTGTGTGCATCATTACTATTATACATAATATTTTAAAGTTTTTATTTATCATTATTTTTGTTAGCTAGTAGGAGAACTTACATCCCAGTTGAGGAGAGGCAGATGGTAAAGGTAGCTGATATGAAACCAACCACGTCAGGATCCAGCCAAAGTGTCATTAGATTCATACTCCTTTTTGTTTGAAGTTATTGTAGAGAGAATGAATAAAAGAATATTAATTCTCCGCCTACTAGTTAACCTGACTCATTAAATATTTCAAGCCCCGCCTATCTAATTAATTATTCATACGAGGACTTTCCCTAAAAATGAGGTATAATGTGCTGGGATCTTAGTCATCTTGCTTATTCTTTTTCCTCTTTCCTTCTCTCTTACTAACCCTTAGCATGTCCAGTAACAAAGGCCGTCAACCGGTACACCAAGGAACTGAACGTGGTAACGTTTCTTGCCTGCATTTCGACTATGAAGGAGTCAAAGTAGCTACGAAAGGATTTAACAAGACCAATAAATTGGGCGAAGGTGGGTTTGGTCCTGTATTCAGAGGAGAACTACTTTCTACTGATGTAGCTATTAAAGTACTGCGTAGGACAAAACCAGTGAGTTTGAGCTTGACCTTAAGGCTCAGTTGATTATTTATTTGATAGCCACAATTGATTCCAATGTCTATTGTGTTTGTAAATTGGAATTATAGAAGCATCTTTGGATTGCAATTAGTGCTAATTTTTAACCTACACACCTTTTTTTACTATTAATAGGGCGATAAAGGAGCATCTGATTTAGCCGATGAGCAGTTTGATGCTGAAATCCAAATACTTTCAAAGTAATTATTGAAAATATTCATCAATTTTAAGTACTCTATGTCTTTCAGGTTTCGTCATCCAAATCTTGTGACATTACTTGGTTATTCAAATGATCCAGGTTTACCAAGGTGTCTCATTTATGAGTTTATGGTCAATGGAACGTTAGAAGATGCACTGGATTTTGGAGTAATTTTAGTGCACACATACCACACATACATTAAACATTCACTACACATTCAGAATGAACATTAATTCATTTTAGTATTTTAATTGTAGAATAATTTTTCATAACTTTTTACAGGTTGACAGGAGTAATGTAAAAGAATCA